TGCAGGGAACACGGTGGTCTTCATCCACAAGGGAAGTGCGATGGCCCTTCTGGGACAATGTAGGGTGCCTGGCATCCTCTTTTGGCTACAAATAGTTTAGAACATCCCGACTCTTGACTACCCCAAACTATGACATATACCATCTGGAAAAGCACAGGGGAGGGTCGCCCCCACATTCTGTACTTGCAGCCAGCAGAGCTGGGGATGGCTTTTGATGGGCAGTGGTGAGTGTGAGATATTTCTCTGAGATAATGAAGATTGTGAGATGTCCTCTGAGGGGTTGGGTTTATGAGATGATGTTAATGGCCCTGTTAGAAGACTGACGTCCTTTCTGATCAATGGAGGGGACGGCGAGGGATGTGAGGAACCCCAGACAGTGTGGTGAGAAGGGATGGGTCACCCCCTCCATTGCCCCATGACCTCTGGGATCTCTTGCTGGACTAGTGAGATGTGATATAATGCAGTTGTTGAGAAGAGAGGCAACCGAGCTTCAAATTCCATCTGACTAGCCTGGGTGCATAGACCGAGCCACCGAGATTTCTGGCTCCTCATTTTTCTCTTCCCTAGAATAGAAGTGCTAATAACGACTCATAGGCTAGCTATGATGCTTAATGAGTTAATGTACATAAAACACTGAGATCAGAACCAGGCATTACATCAGCATCTAATATTCTTATTACTGGGGCCTCCCATTTTGCAAAAGTTTGGGATCATCCTTTATGAGACCCCCAGGGGCCAGGGATAGCCCATCTGCAGAAATAAAATGATTAAGGGTAGCCCATCTGGGCACCACGTGGGTAGCTCAGACAGGCATCCCCATGTCCTATCGAGGACTTGGGACATCCTATTTTGCACTCTACACATATAAGGTATCACATCTGGAGAAGTAAGGGACAAGAGAACTCTCAAATGGCGCGCAGAAAAATAGGCCATATTCTTTGAGGGGCACTGGGATGACAGCACCTTCTTTGGAGACTGAAGAGTGTTGGAGATCTCATATGGGTGATCAAATATATGACAGCCCAAACAGACTCTGAGGAGCGCCAGGTATTTTCCACGGGTCAGTGGAGGTAGAACAAGATTTCATCCAGTTCCCCAGGGATATAGAATGTCCCCCTGGTATAAGTACAAGCCGTGGCCTGTCGTGTCAGGAAGGTATGGGGCAGCTCCCTGCCATGTCCAGGGATAAAACAGCCATGATTTGGGAAAAGAGGGAGTATGGGAGTGTCTCTCGGAGAAAATGAGAAACACTGAAATGTACAGTCTGGGCATTTGGAGGCGAGAGGACAGGAAGTGAAGAACATTGCCGGGAAGGAACAAGGTCTGCCCTTGGGTGTTGGGAGGTGTCTGGTGAGAGCTTGGTTTGGTGGAAGCAGTAGGTGGGGAACAGGCAAAGATCCTGCTTTGGGGTGGGCGTCTGTCTCCCCAGGGCTCATAGGATGGGAGCGCAAGCTGTCTCCAGGCTGGGAAGAGGAAGCTGACACCAGAAACCCAGGCTGTCTCTCTATGGGCACAGGCTGTCTGTGGGCAATGCAGAGTGGGCACAGGCTGTCTCCAGGGCGCAGGCATTTGCAGAGGGTGCAGGCTGGGGTGGGCACAGGCTGTCTGAGGACACCAGCTGTGTCTGGAATCACAGGCTGGGTCTGGGGACACAGGCAAGGTTTTTCTAGGGACACAGGCTCTCTCTGGACCTATAGGCTGGTCTGGGGGGACCCAGCAATGCCTAAGAACATTGGCTGTGCGGGGTCAGGGGCTTTGGGGGTCATAGAATGATCTGGGACCATAGCCTGGTGTGGAGGTGCAGGCTGATCTGAGGGCACAGGCTGGTGTAAGGATGCAGGCTGGTCTCGGGGTATAGACTGGTCTAGGGGTGCATGTTAGTCTGGGGGTGGAAACTGTAGCTGGAGACCCAGGCTGATCTGGGGGTATAGGATAGTCGGGGTACAGGATGGTCTTGGGGCACAGGCTGTAGGTGGGGACACAGGCTCTCTTTAGAGGCGTAGAATAGGGGTACAGTCTCATCTGGGGGGTCTCAGGTCACAGCCTGGTCTGGGGGTACAGGATGGCCTGGGGGCATAGACTCTTTGGAGGTACATTCTGGTCTTGGGGTACAGTCTGTAGCAGGAAAGCAAGCTCTAAGGCACAGGTTCTCTGGGGGTAGGCCAGTGAGGGACCTAGGCCATGTCTGGGGGATCTCTCTCAGCAGTTTCCGGGAGCAGAGGACGATGTGGGCACTGGCGCTCACAGGGATACAAGCTCTCTCCTCCGGGCTCAGGCTTTCGTCCCTGGGGCGGGTTTTCTCCACGGACACGGGCCCCTCTCCCTCCCTGTCCACGGGACGCAAGCCCTGGGCTCGGGGCGGCGGCTGCTCACCTCCGGGCAGCTCCGCGGGGCCGCAGGTGTCCCTGTCCGTGGGCACGTCCGCCTGCCACAGCCGCTTGGTGCACACCTTCCACAGCCCCAGGTGGGCCGCTTCGCACACGGCGCTGCCGTTGGCCTTGTAGGTGTTGAGCTCCACCCAGAACTCGGTGCCCACTGACAGCACCGCCAGCGTGGCGCCCATGGCGGCCAGCAGCAGCGCCAGCTTCACCTTCCCCTCGCGCTCAGGCGTCAGCCCCGACCTGCACCGCCCGTGCGCCCGCCGCCGGCCCGCGGCCCCCCGCCGCCGGTTCTCCTCTTGCAGGAAGAAGTTGGACCACATCATCATCTTATGGCCGGTGGGGTGGAGAAGAGGGAGGAGGCAGAGCCGAGGAGGGGCCTCGAGGGGCGGAAGCGAGGAGCGGCCTGGGGTCTCGAAGGGGGTGAGGGACTCAGTTTCCCCTGGGTATGAAAGAGGGGGTCCTCTCTGGAACCTCAAATGGGAAAGTTGAGATTGCTTCTGGGGTTCAGAAGAGAAAAAAAGATCCCCGGGGCTGGGGAAGCCTCTGGGGTTCAGAGGAGGATCTAGGTTGCCCTCAAGAACTTGGCAAAGAGGATGGGGCCCAGAGGAAAAGCAAGGCCCCCACCCCGAGGCTTAGAGATAGAATCTGGGTTCCCAGGAGGAGGTCCCCCCCAAGAACTCCAGAGGAATGAGAACTGGTGTCCGCTGAAGCTCCCTGCAGCTCCGAGGCGCTGCTTTGGCGTCCCCGCTGGGGGGCTGACAAAAGGGAAACCGGTTTTCCTGAGAGATCGGAGCACCCCAGTAGGGCTAAGAGTTTGGGGTACTCAGGAAGGGACCTGGAGTCCTCTGTGTGTTTGGAGGAGATGTGGCCGGGGTACCCCTGGGCTCAGAGTTTGAGAAGAGAGGACTTGGGGACCCTCTGGGATTCGGAAAAGGAAGACCTGGGGTCCCGGGAAGCTCCTAAGGGGAGGTCGGAATTCCCTCCTGGTCTCAGAGAGGCGGTGGGACCCCGGCATCCACAGAAGGAGAAGAGCAGAGCCCCGGCTGGAGCTCAGAGGAGGACTGGGCCCCGCTGGAATTCAGGAAAAGGGGATGGGGGTGTCCCCTGCCATTCAGAAAAGATTAGAGGTCTCTACCGAGCCTGGGAAAGGGGCCGGTGGCTGGAAGACAGAGTGGAGTCCAGAGACGGAGGCTGCTGGGCCTCCAAGAGGACTGGGGCGAAGGGGACCCGGGGTCCCCCCTGGGGCTCACACTAAGGGGCTGTGGTCCGCACCGCGGCTCAGAAAACCAGGACTGTGTCCCCGCAGGGTCCAAAGGCCAACCGTGACCCGAAAGAGACGCTGCGCCCGTTCGGGATCAGTCCGCCTCCCTCCCCCGGGCTCCCACGGCCTTCCCGGTCGGGTCCGCGCCAGGCTCAGCTCCAGGCTAGGGCTCCCCCTCGGGGCTCCCACCCCCGACTCCCGAGCAGGGGCCCCTGTCGCTCTCCTGCCTCGGCCCCGCGCCGACCCCAGCTCCGCGCTGCCTCCGAAGCGTCCGGCTGTGCCCGCCACCGCCACCGGCCTGGCCTCCGCCCGCGCCCAGCCTCGTCCCCACCCGCCCACCCCCCACTCTGCACCCTCTACCCTCCACCCTCAGGGCTATTTCGGGCTTGACCCGTAAATAACACCCGCACCTGTCGCCCGGCGCCTGTTGCCATAGGGATCCCGGGTATTTTAAGGGGACGAGGAAGGGGGGAGGGAAGCCGCCCGGGGAGGAAGGGGACGAACCTGATGGGACTTTCATTTCACTAAGGGGCAAGAGCGGCGCTGAGTCCCAGCTCCCCAATCTCCCGGGCAGCAGGAGACGGACGGGGCAGCAGGCCTGACTGGGGTTACGGGGAGGAGAGGTGGAGGCAGGACCCCGGGTTTCAGGGAGGAGGGACTGAGGCCAGGAGTCTTGGGTCTCTGAGGGAGAAGAAGCCTCGGTACTCTAACTTCTGAGTGGCAGAGGAAGGGGGCCTGAGTACCCAGAATCCTGGATCTGAGAGGAGAGGAACCTGGTCTCCTGGGTCCTCGGCTCCTGGGTCTGAGGGAGGGGGAGCTGGGGGTCTGGGCTCCTGGGTCTGAGGGAGGAGGGGGAGCTGGGGGCCTGGGCTCCTGAGTCTGAGGGAGGAGGGTCTGGGGCCTGGACTCCTGGGTCTGAGGGAGGAGGGGCTGGGGGTCTGGACTCCTGAGTCTGAGGGAGGAGGGTCTGGGGCCTGGACTCCTGGGTCTGAGGGAGGAGGGTCTGGGGGCTGGACTCCTGGGTCTGAGGGAGGAGGGGCTGGGGCCTGGACTCCTGGGTCTGAGGGAGGAGGAGCTGGGCCTGGACTCCTGGGTCAGAGGGAGGAGGGTCTGGGGGCCTGGATTCCTGAGTCTGAGGGAGGAGGGGCTGGGGCCTGGACTCCTGGGTCTGAGGGAGGAGGAGGCCGGGAGCCTCGACTTCTGGTCAAGGGGTTGGCAGACCCAGACTCCTGGACCTGGAGGAGGAGACTGAGGCCAGAACCCTGGGTCTTGAAGGATAGAAGGACTGATTCCCATGTTGGAGAAAGCACAGGCCTCAGCGGGGACCGGCTGTCAGGGACACAGAATGACGGCGGCACTCCTCTTCATCGAGTTTATTAGACGGGGCACCCCTGGAGGACCTTCCATGCAGTTTCAGCTCCCCCAGGGGCAGGGACAGAGGACAGCCGTGTGGCATGGTGGCAGGGCCTGATCTTCAACCCCTCGCCCCCTACCCCTCAGCCCTTCTGTGCATGGCCCAGGTGGGGCCCATCTTTCACCAACTCCTTCTCCCACAGTTGGCTGCTCCAGGCAGGCCTGGTGCCGACCTGAGCAAGGCCCTGGTGCACGCTGGGCCTCTCTGGACGTTTCCGATGGAGCACGCGTTTCCCCGCAATGTGATTGTCTGTGTCTGGTTCTTCCAGCAGACTGGGGCCGGGGCCAGGCACAGGAGGAATTCACCTTCACCTTGGCATCCTCAGCTCTACCCGGCACAGGGCCAGGCCACAGGCAGCCTTGGAAAATGTGCATGAGGTGACTCGAATGAATGGATAGATGAATGAGCAAAGGAATGAGCAGATGGAGTGAGATGATGGCACACAGACATCCCCATCCCAGCCAGGGGACGGGCCCGCTGTGTTTCCTCAATGCCTGCGTGGCCCCGTCAGAACACAGCCCCCTCTGTCCTCTAATTGTCTGGACTACCTGTTCCCCCTCCAAGGGCAGAGATGGGACAGAAGTGGCTCTGAGATCGCAGGGCCTGGTACTTGGAAGTCCTCAGGAAATATTTTTTTCTTTTTATTGATCATCCCTTGACACTGTGTATGCTTCTGAGTCTCCACGTTGCTTTTTGTGCGAATCTCTGAGTCTTTCTCCAGCTTACCTCTCCCTGCCTCTGTGATTGTGTTTTGTTACCTCTGACACTTCTCTGATTTGTGTACCTGTCAGTCTCTCTCCTCCTCCTTTTCTCTCTTCTCTGTATCACCTTCTCGTCTTTGACTTTATTTCTTTGACTCCTTCTTCCTTCCTTCCTCTTTTTTTTTTTTTTTTTTTCTGAGACAGGGTCTTGCTCTGTGGCCCAGCCTGAAGTGCAATGGTGCAATCATAGCTCACTGCAACCTTAAACTCCTGGGCTCAAGCAATCCTCCTGCCTCAGCCTCCCGAGTATCTAGGACTACAGGCGTGAGCTACCACACTGCAGCTATTTTTTAATTTTTGTAGAGATGGGGCCTCACTATATTGCCCAGGCTGGTCTCAAACGCCAAGCCTCAAGCAATCCTCCTGTCTTGGCCTCCCAAAGTGCTGGGATGACAGGCATGAGCCACCATGCCTCGCCAGGAAGTATTTCCAAGAACTGAATGAATGTTTCTGAAAATGAATGATGAAAGCCTGTTCTTCCCCTTCAGCTCGCTAGGTCTTGACCGGGTCTACAGGGGGAATCCCAGAGCGTGCCCGGCGCTGACAGCAGCAAGAGACAGGAGCCGGGCAGAGCAGCCCTGGCTAGGGAATCTGCCAGAGGCTAGCTGACAGCATCCCCTCTTCCCTGCCCCCTGAATTCATCTTCCCCTCCTGACCCTGGGCCTCCCCATCTATCTTGCTCCTGCCTGCTACGACAGCTAATTGCAGGGTGCATTTTTCTGCCTGCCATCTCCCTGTCTGCATGTCTCCCTATTTCCTTTCAGTGTCTTTTTTTTTTTTTTTTTTTTTGCTCTTTTTCTTTTTTTGAGACAGAGTCTTGCTCTGTCACCCAGGCTAGAGTACAGTGGTGTGATCTTGGCTCACTGCAACCTCTACCTCCCAGGCCCAAGCGATTCTCCTGCTTCGGCCTCTCAAGTAGCTGGAATTACAGGTGTGCACCACCGCGCCTGGTTAATTTCTGTATTTTTAGTAGAGACCGGGTTTCACCATATTGACCAGGCTGGTCTCGAACTCCTGACCTCAAGTGATCCACCCACTTTGGCCTCCCAAAGTGCTGGGGTTACACACGTGAGCCATCGCACCTGGCCTTTGTGCCAGTTACACACACACACAAACACAAAATTGCCTGAATTCCCGTTCCTTCTGTCTTCCCCCCAAATTCTCTCTCCCCTCCACTCCAGCAGGGCTTCCATTCCCACCACTGCACTGAACTGACATCTTGTCAAGATCACCAACCCCATCCATGTCATCAAACCTCATGGTCACTCCGCTTTCTAGATCCTTCTCCGATTCTCAGCAGCCCTTGGCACAGCCGGCTGTCTTCTTCCCTTCTTGAAACACAAAGGTGCATTTGCCCTCTGTGACCCTCCTGGTTTCAGCCCACCTCGAGATCACTCCTAAGCTTGCTTTGCTACATCCCCTTCTCCTCAAGATGTAGATGTCCCCAAGGCTCTGGCCAGGGTCATTTCTCTGTCCCCACCCACCTGCTAGGCCACATCACCCAGTCCTGTGGCTTTAAATGTCCCCTATATGTTGACGTTTCCAAAACTTACATTTTTGAGCCATGACCTCTCTTTCCCCCAGACTCCAGTCTCACATATCCAACCGGCTATTTGATACCCCAACTTGGTTTCTCAAAGGCATCTCTATCTTGACACATCCAAAAGAGAAGCCTTGGTTTCTCCCTCCCAAAGCCGCTTTCCTGATCCCAGTCTCCCCGTTCCTGGTAACAATCCTCATCGGCGCCCATCAGAGATGCGCATGCCCAATTCCAGGAGTTCTTTTCTTCCTGGTTCCTTCTCCTTCCCTCCTCTATGACATCCAGTTCACCACCACTGCAGGCTCTGCCTCCAAAATCCCATGCCTTCTTCCACCTCCTCTGTCCCACTAACTGCACCTTGGTCCAGGCCTCCAGCAGCCTTAACCAGAGGAAAGCAACAGCCGGCTACCTCCTTCCTTCCACTTTGACTCCTGAAGTCTACGTATGCTCAGCCCAGCAATGTAACTCTGCTGTTCTTGTTTCAATAAAAATATGAGGCCAGGCGCAGTGGCTCACGCCTATAATCCCAGCATTTTGGGAGGCCGAGGCAGGTGGATCCTTTGAAGCCGGAAATTTGAGATTGGCCTGGCCAACATGGTGAAATCCCGTCTCTACTAAAAATACAAAAACATTAGCCGGGCGTGGTGGCACATGCCTGTAATCCCAGCCACTCAGGAGGCTGAGGCAGGAGAATCACTTGAACTCGGGAGGCGGAGGTTGGCAGTGAGCCGAGATCGGCCCACTGGACTCCAGCCTGAGACAGAGCAAGACTCTTTTTCAAAATAAATATAAATAAATAAATAAAAATATGATCATGGCATGCCTGTGCTCAACACCCTCCAAGGACTTCCCATCAGCTCTAGAATAAAATTCAGATTTCTTCCCAGGCATCCAAGGCCCTAACTGATCAGCCCCTACCCTGGGCCTCTCTCCTATCACGGATCTGCTCACCACACTGGCCCCCTTGAAGACCTGCTACTCTTCCGGGCTTTGGGGCTGCTTCCGGTGGACAGAATGCCTGGACCCCAGACTTTCTTACCTCTCTTTCCTTCTCACAATCCATGCCTCTGTGACCTCTGCCACAGGTCTTCTCCAAGTACCTCATCTAAAGTCGTCCTTGCTCTGTCATTCTGTTACCACTCACCGTCGCCCAGGCTGGAGTGCAGTGGCGCGATCTCGGCTTACTGAAACATCTGCCTTGCGGGTTCAAGTGATTCTTCTTTCTCAGCCTCCCAAGTAGCTGGGACTACAGGCACACCACCACACCCAGCTAATTTATTTATTTATTTATTTTCTAGTAGAGATGGAGTTTCACCATGTCGACCAGGCTGGTCTCGAACTCCTGACCTCAAGTGATCCACCAGCCTCGGCCTCCCAAAGTGCTGGGATTACAGGCATGAGCCGCTGCACCCGGCCTTGTGCTTAATTTTTTTTTTTTTTTTTTTGTGCTTAATTTTTAAAGCACTTTTTGGTTACTGAAATGATATTATTTATTGTTTATCTCTCCGGTGAGTATCAGGAGAGCAGGCCCTTGTCCGTCTATTTGTCACCACATCCCCTGGGCCTAGATTGGGTCTAGAACAGGTTGGCACTCAAGTATTTGTTGAATACTGAGAAAACAACACACCAGAAATGGAGCATTCCTTGACGCTGTGCTTGCTTCTGAGTCTCCACGTTGCTTTTCGTGCGAATCTCTGTCTCCGGCTTACCTCTCCATCTCCATCACCATCTCTGTGGTCGTGTTTTTGTCACCTCTGGGACTTTTCTGATTTGTGCACCTGTCAGTCTCTCTCCTCTTCTCTCTTCTCTGTATCACCTTCCTGGCTTTGACTTTCTCTGTCTGTGACTACTAGTTTTGGTCTCTCCTTCCCTCCCCCTCCCTCCCCATCTTGCTCTTCCTCGTGCCCACCCTCCACCTCATTCTCGTTTTGTTTGGCCTTCGGACTCTAGAACCCACTCTCCCCTAACCAGTTCATTCTGTCTCCCTCTTCCAGCAAATATTTGCTGTCTCTTTTTTCTTTTCTTTTTTTTGAGACAGAGTCTTGCTCTTTCGCCCAGGCTGGAGTACAGTGGTGCCATCACGGGTCACTGCAGTCTCACCTTCCCAGGCCCAAGTGAAATCCTTTCGCCTCAGCCTCCTGAGTAGCCGGGACTACAGGCATGCACCACTACACTCGGCTAATTTTTATGGAGACAAGATCTCAATATGTTGGCTGGTCTGGAACTCCTGAGCTTAATCCACCTGCCTCATCCACCTGCCTCAGCCTCCCAAAGTGCTGGGATTAGGAGCCACTGCACCCAGCCAGATCTGTCCCTTTTAACACCCGCTCCGGCATCCCTCTTCTCTCCACCTATCCTTCTCTCTCACTCAGCACTTCTCCGTCTCACTAATTTGTATTCCTTTTCCTACGTTTCCCAGCATCTCTTCCTGAAACCGCCTTGGCAGAATTCTTCCTAGAGACTTTGACCTTCAGTGTCTCTTCCTGGTCCTTCCACACAGGCCTCGGAGAGAAATTCTGAACATTCAGCTGTGATCTGTACCCTTCCGCAGCCCTATATGCTCAAGATAAGGGCACGCAGAGCCCCTGGCAGCACGGCACCACTGCTGCCATGCCCTCCTCATGCTGCGTCGGTGCCTGTTTTCCCACCAGACTGGGAGCCCCTTGAGAGCAGGGCAAGATACAAATCACCTCGACACTCCCAGCACCGCCCAGCACAAGGCCTCAGGGGAGTCCTCAGGAAGTACTTGCTGAGCAAATATGGAAGGGAAGCCCACTGAGCACTGTCCCCTCTGCCTTCTCAGTGAACTTCAAACTCATCCCCTCCTCTCCACCCCCCAGTCCTTGCCCCAGCTCAACTATCATCCTCTCTCACCATCCTTAGAATAAAGCCTCAATCCCTCTGCCTGGAACTCAGGCACCTTTTTCTCTTTTGTTCTGAGACAGGGTCTCACTCTGTTGCTCAGGCTGGAGTGTATGTAGTGCCACAATCCTAGCTCACTGCAGCCTCGAACTCTTGGATTCAAGTGATCCTCCTCCCTCAGCCTCCCGAGTAGCTGTGACCCCAGGTGTGCTCCACCACGCCCGGCTATTTTTTTTTTTTTTTAATGTTTTGTAGAGACAGGGTTTTGCCATGTTGCCCAGGCTGGTCTCAAACTCCTGGGCTCAAGTGATACTCCAGCCTCAGCCTCCCAAAGTGCTGGGATTTTGGCATGAGCCACCGTACCCGGCCACACTGGTACCTTTACACTCTGGCTTGTGGCTACTTTCCCGGCCTCATCTCCCAGCCCCACCTTGTACATCAGCATCCCAGAACTATCAGCACTGACCCCAATACGTCATGCTTGTTCGCTTCCCCCGGTTTTTACCCAAGTTGTTCTTTGGCCCCACAAGCCTTTTTCACGCCCTTCATCACCCGGAAGATGCCCACTCATCTCTTTAAGACCCAGAATGGGCATCATATTTTCCACAAAGCCTCCTCCGAGTGCTGCCCACTCCTGGCAGTTGGTCACTCTGTCCACTGTGTGCCACGGTACCCACTGTGGTTCCCATTCCAGCACCAATTGCCCTGCCTGGATGGCGGTGTTTGATGACAATAAACTGCTTGAGAGCAGGGCTAGAGTCTGTTTCACCCCTGGGTACCTTAGCAGATGGCCAAAAATGGCAACGGGCGAGTGGCTGAATGAATGAGTGACAGACACATGAGTCTGTAAGCCCCAGGGCTTCTCCTGCACACCAGACACCATGTCTATGCTTCACTATTTGTGTAATTATGTGCTTCCTCCCACAAGAGTGTGAGCTCCAAGGGCCAGTGCCCATGTTTTATGCTGTATTTCAGCATATCTCCACCTCTTACTCTTGTCTCCGAGTTCCTGTCTTCCCTTTGTACGCCATTCACGTTAGGGTCCTGCTTAAACCCATTCCATGGCCCTCACCATCCCTAGAATAAAATCTAAACTCCTGGCCTATGAGTACCTGCACAATCTGGCCCTGTCTGTGTCTCCAGCCTCACCTTGGTCCCTGCTCACCTGCCTCACTACCCTTCAGCCCTCGCTGCAAGCTCCTTCCTGCCCCCGGGCCTTTGCAAGTGCTGCTCTGCCTGCCACACTCCACCCCAGCTCCACCCTGCTGGCTTCTTCTCATCCTTTCACTGTCCACTGAAATCTCTTCCTCACAACTGGGTTAGGCTCCGTTGATAGAGCATTTCATAGCATCTCATTTCTCCTATAGCCTAACTGTAATTTATTGTGTATGTACATGATCGATTAATGCCTGTCTCATGCACAAGATGTTTACTCTATGAGATGTCGGGACCCCTGGCTGTTTTCCTGCCTCCTGCACGCTGAGCACGGAGCACAATGCCTAGCTTTTTAAGGCGCACAAATAAATTGCCTGTAATGAATGAACGAGGAGGCCCTTTCTGTGCCTCGTTCGTGTCCCCTGCTCCAATGCCTTCTTACATACCTGTGCCTGGTACACAGTAGGTGCTTAATAAGCCTTTGTGGAATAATGAATGAAAAAAATGAATGAATGCCCGCGTCCAACCCTTCTTTCTGCCTTTCTGCGTCCCTTAGCTGTGTCTCTTTATATAGGGCATATATATAGTTTGTGGGTGTAACTATGTATTTGTGTATTATGGGCTCCTCTCCAGGAGTTGGGCTGGGCTGGGCTGGGAGTCCCTCCCTCCCCTCCCCGCGCCCCGCCACCCCATGCACACAGCAAAACGTGAAAAAGAAAACATCTCGAAACTGCAAAAAACACCATGGCCCTCCCCCCTCCCCATAGAGCCCACAAAAAAATAAAACACGACGCTCCCTCACAGCAGCCCCCTCCCTCCCCTGCCCCCTCCCTAGGGGTCCCTGCTTCGGAGGGGGAGGAGGGCGGGGAGGGTGGGCGGGGGGCGGGCCCAGCAGTCTCCAGCGCGCTCACGGGGGAAAGCGGGGGCGCCCCCCGACCCCGGCAGCCTCGATGCACGCGCGCCCGCGCACGCGCCCCGGACACGCCCCTCGGCTCCCCCGCCGCGCCCTACACAGGCGTGGTTTTCCTGTTGAGCGTGTTGGTGTTGGAGGCGGCGGCCTCCTTGGCCAGGGTCCCGGGGGCGGGTGCAGCGGGCGCGGGTGGCGCGGGCGCGGGCGCGGCGGGCGGCCCGGTGACCGTGACCGTGACGCCGCCGCCCGCCTCCTTGGGGAAGGCGTTGTGCAGCGTGAGGAAGCCGGACGCCCCCCCGCGGTCCCGCTCGGCGCCCGCCCCGCCGCCGCCTCCGCCGCCGCCCCCGGCCGCGCCGCCGAACGCCCCCACGGCGGCGCCGCCGCCGCCGCCGGCCCCCGCCAGCCCCGCGGCCACGCTGCCCTTGGAGGGGTCGCGGCTGAGCGTGTACATGGAGATGTCCGTGGAGGCGAAGCCCGGGCCCCCGGGGCCGCCGGGAGACGCGTCCCGCGACGGCGACGGCTCGCTGGAGCGGGAGCTAGAGCGGGAGCGGCGGCGGTAGCGGAAGCGGTAACTGGGCAGACGGAGGATGGCCGAGGGGCCGCTCCCGCCACTGCCGCCCGCGCCCCCGCCGGCCTTGAGCAGGTCCGAGCGAGACTGGCAGTGCGCCTCGCGGCTGCGCTCGATGTAGATGTTGACGGCCAGCACGCCGATCACCTCGGCCAGGATGAACGACAGCCCGCCGAAGTAGAAGGACCAGCCGTACGAGTAGTGGTTTTTCTTCTCCTCGTCCCGCTTCGGGCCCGGCTCGCCGGCGTTGGCCGAGATGTACACGATCACGCCGATGATGTTGCTCAGGCCTGGGCGGGGACGGTCAGACGGGAGCCTCGAGGCCACCCCCGGCCCCTCCCCGGTCCCCGGCCCCGGCCCCTCTGCGCCAGCGGGCCTAGGCGCCACCCCCAGGCTAGACCCCCGAGTGGGCTAGACCCCCATCCTGGATCTGGCTGACCCAAGTCCTGCCGGAAGTGAACACAACTCCCCGCCCGATACTCTAGGCGTGGCCCTGCTGGTCTAAGCTCCAACCCAGAGGGCTCAGGCCCACTCCTAGCTAGCCCAGGCCTCATCTCCGCTGGTCTAACCCAGCCCCGGCTGACCTAAACTCCATCCCTCTGGTGGTGCAGGGCCGCCAATGGTCCAACTGCATCATGCGTGGTCCTAGCCCTGTAGGCTCAAGTACCCCCTCAGACAGTCTAAACTCCACCCCAAGGTGGTCCAGGCCCTGCCCTGAATGGTCCGGACACGGCCCTGGCTGGTCCAGGTCCTGCCCCCGAATAGCCCAGGGCCCACCTCTGCTGGTCTAACCCAGCCCTGACTAAACTCCACCCCTAGGTGGTCTAGGACCCCAACTGGTCCAGGCAACACCCTAGATGGTCCTCGCCCTGGATGGTTCAAGTCCCATCTCAGATGGTCTAAACCCCACCCCCAGGTGGTCCAGGCCCTGCCCTGAATGTACAAGACAGGGCCCTGGATGGCCCAGGTTCTGCCCCCGGATAACCCAAGCTCCACCTCTGCTGGTCTAATCCAGCCCTGGCTGGTCTGAACTCGGCCCTACGTGGTCTAACACCCACCCCTAGATGGTCTGGGCTGCCCCCACATGGCATAAACCCCACTCCTCTAGCTAAGGTCCCACCTCTGCTGGTCTAAACCCCAACCTCTCTGGTGGTAACTCCACCCCAAGTGGTCCAGGCCCCACCCCTAGGTGGCCTAAGCCCCACCCCTAGCTAGTCCAGGCCCTGCCCTGATTGGTCTAAAACCCACCTTTGATGAGTTTACAGCCCCTGCCCTGGTTAGTCTAACTCCACCCTTAACGTTATAAACCTGGGTTTTTCCCAAGCCCCCTCCCTCTGCTCCTTTGAACTCTGTTAATGATGTCATCCTGCTGTGACCAGGCCCTATCACTTATGTAAACCCTCTCTTCTTCATGTAATTCCTGGCGGAGTATCCATTCTAGGCCCTCCCCTGCTGGTCAAAAATTTGCCCTTAATAAAGCAGGCCCCGCCTTCTACTCTAGGCCCCACCTCCAGCTTACCAAACCCCGCCCCGTGCGGATCTTGGCCAGGGTCCTCCCCGGTCCCAGGTCCAGCTACTCCGGATTTTCAGGTCCTCCAAGCCCCACCCTTTGCAGATCTAGACCCACCCCCAAAGCACACCCTGCTCTTCAAATATGCAAAGCCCTCCCTCTTCTCTGTATTCTACTCCAAAAAAGCTCTGCCCCCTGGAATTTCCCAATGCTACTCATATGGGGTAGAAAGGGGGTCTTACCCCTTAATTACGTGCCTCTTAAGTGTTCCTGTCCTAGCTCTCTGCTCCTCTAGGCCCTAGCTCTTGAGACGGCCAATCCGAGGTACTGACTGGCTTTTGTCGGCCTCTTGCTTCAATCAGCCAAGTTGACTCTTTGTGTCCTTAAGGACATAACCCCTCCCCCTTTGGCTTTTCCAGGCATCACCCTGTCTTTTCTAGCCTCTCCTTCTCCAAATGGTAACGGGCAAGGGCCGATTCAGTCTCCCTCGACCAGCCCCTTTAGTTTCCACTTCACGGCCCTGGACGGTTTCCCAGGACTAGCCCCCTCTTGGATCCACCAAGGTCTCCAAAGACCAGCCCCTTAAAACAGGCTCCTCATCCGCGCCCAGATCACTTTCTACCTCTCCTGGGCCCGCCCTCCAAGGCCCAGCCCCGCCTCTCTATCCTCAAGAGCCCAGTTGTGTCTCAAGATCCCACCCCCTCCCCCAGCTCCTCCCCTTCCGTCTCCAGGACGGCGGGCTAAGGATCCTAAGCGCTCGGCGTCTTAAGCGCTAGACACCTGTCTCTGCCGCTTCACTCCTCCGAAGGCGTAGCGAGGACTACACCCACCTTACCCAGCGGGTGGCGATGGAGCTTGGGGACGGCCTAGGAAGGCTCCGGACCCCCGGGGGTGCTCGGGGCAAGGTGGCTTTGCAGACACACACACGCGCACATGCACTCACACACACGCGCGCGCGCACACACGCACTCGCGCGCGCAGGTGGGCCGCCCCGGTCGCCCCCTCCCTCTGCCTCTCACCTGCTGCCACGAACAGGATTCCTGCGCCCAGAATGATGTTCCTCTTGGACTTGTAGACGCGGGAGGCCGCCACGCACACGCCCCCAAGCAGCAGCAGGATGGCGCTAAGGATGGGGAAGATGCTGGAGGCCCGGACAACTCCTGCGGGGGAGGAAGGAAAGGAAAAGAAGGGAGAGCGAGGGCGGTCAGACGCGGCCCCCTGCGCCCCCCTCCCGGCCCCCCATCTCGCGGCGCCTCCCACCAGTTATGTGATTCTTCCTCTCCGGCTGTGTTCTGGTTTATTTTACTGTTGCCTCATTCTCTCTCCTGTTTTTAAAATTTCTCTGTTTCTCGGTCTGATTCCCTCTCCCTCTTTTTCTTTGTCCTTTTCTTTCTTCCTCGGACTATTTTTCTCTCTCCCGGAATATCTTTTCCCCTCTTTGTTTATCGAAATCACTCTCCCTGTTTTTCTCCCAACTTCTCCATGGATCCTCTCCCTTTCTCTCTTTCTCATCCCTCCCTTCCTCTCGTCTGCGAATTTCTTTCTCCATATCCCGCAAATCACTTACTACCTCTCTCCACACCCCTCCCATTTTCTGCCTCGCTTCATCTGAGTTTCTCTCTCTCTCTCTCTCTCTACATTCCTTCCTCCCTCCTCCTCCTCCCTTTTCTGCCAGGCTGAATCTACTTCTGAGTTTCTCTTCCCTTCTTCTCCTCGCGCCCCACCCCCCTCGTTTTATTGCCTGGCTTCATCTATCTTTCTGGGTCTGTCTCCCCTCTCTCCTCTTTATCTTCTGGGCCTCATATGTCTTCATAGGTTTCCCCCCAACACCCCGGTTTTTCTGCCTGGCCTCATCTGTCTTCCTAGTCCCCGCCCCCAACTTTTTCTGTCTGGCTTCGCCTATCTTCCTAGGTCTCTCCCCCGTCTTTTTTTTCTGCCTGACCTCATCTGTCTTCCTAGGTCTCTCCCCACTTCACCCCGCCCCTTTTTTCGTCTGGCCTCCTGGATCTCTCCCCTCCTTTAATGCCTGGCTTCCTCAATCTTCCAGGTTTCTTTTTCTCTCCACTCCCTTCCTCTCCCTTACTCCTTCCCTCCCTCCCCACCCCCTTTTAGGCCTGACTTTATCTATCTGAGTCTTTCTCTTTTCCTCCCTCCCTTCTTCCCCTTCTCTCTCTCCCCTCCTCCCGCTCCGCCCCCCTTGTCTCTTTCTCTGCAGTCCTTTCTTTCCACCCACTCTTAAAACCCCAGGCAACCAGATTTTGCGATTTCGGAGCCTGGCTGAGGCCGCAGCCAATCATCATTTAGGATTTGCCGCGTTCTCGGGGTAGCTACCAATGGAAACACAGGCTTTCCCAACCGGCTCCAGGGAGTGGCCCGTCCCCACCGCAGATTGCCCCGTAGCCCTGCGGCGCGGTGGCCAATCCCAGCCCGTGATTCCACAACCAGTCACGGCGCAGAGTCGCCGCGAGGGCTAGAGAGAGCAAGGCGGCCAATGAGCGCTCAGGATTCTCCCTCAGCCCGCCCCAAGGTGAGAGGAGGGGGCGGGAGCGAGATCACTCAGCCAATCGGGGACCAGAGGATCTCACTATCTGGACTCGGATTGGCTGGGAGGCTAACCTCGGCGTGTCGATCCAAGTGCCTTCTCCCGGCGCCCACCCCGACGCCCTCAGGCCCCGCGATTTGACCCACTCCCCACTTCTGTCCCGGACCCCCACGTACGGAGTAGATACTCCGCGCTGTCGTGGTCGTAGTCCGTGTCCTCCGGGAAATGATTGATCTTCACGCAGACGCCTCTTTTCAACCCTGGAGGAGCGGGGAGGGCAGTGGTGGGGGTGGATACTTCAGGGTTGGGGGCGGGGCAACCCCACTGACAACCGACCCTGCCCTTCCCCAAATCCCTTCTGTCTCTGGGCAGCTTGGGAGACAGCAAGTCCCGGCTCCTGAGCCCGACTCGTGATATGGGACAAACTTGGAACTTCTGTGGTCTCCGTTTCCCCGCCTGTTAAAGAAAAGAAGAAAAGCAAGAAAAAAAACCAAAGTCTAACATCCAGCACTCACTGCAAGGCCATGGGACCTTGGCCCTGTAAGCTGGGCTAAGTTGCTCCAGCACTCTGGATTTCCTGCTCCCACCTCTATAAGAAAGAGGGTGTTGTTGGCTTCAATAATAGCAGGGCGCTTCCCACCTCTCAATTGGTTGAAAAGTCTGGAAATGCGTGGGGGAAAAAAAAAAAAAAACAAGGAAAGGGATGCAGAAGCCGGTGAGGACTACATTTCCCATGAGACCCCGTGAAGTCTGGAGTCCAGTTGTGAGAAGAGCAGTCGCAGTGGATCATGGGAGTTGTAGTCTCCAGTCCTGTAGGGGTGGAGGGGAGAGAGAGGGAGAGCGCTTCCAGTCTCTTTCTACAGGGAACCTGGAACCTTCTGGAGAGAGATGGAGTGGTTGAAGCAAGCAGAGGTGTGTGAGGGGTGGAGTATGCCTCTAGGGGTCATGCATCCTCATCTCCTTCCCCTCCTAAGATGCTCATCCTCAGCTATTTTCTCATCCTTTGGGAAGAGTTAATATTTTACTACCTCTAGCACATAGCTGGAGAAAAAATTAAAAATATAAATATAAATAATGTAGTTTCCTCAGCTGCTCAGTTCTGTCCAGTTCTGCAGGCTTGTGCCCATGCTGTGGAACATTTCGCTCACATTCTTTGCTGATGTAGTACTTTACCTGCAGCGGGCAGCTCAGGAGGCACCTTCTTGAGGAAGCTTTCCCTAGACACAGACACATATGCACACTCATTCCTCCCACCAAACTTGGGTCAGTTTCCTGCTCTGAGGTGCCCCGTAGGACACGCATTTGTTGATAGATGATCTTCGTCCTCGGCAAGCTGGGAGTTCCTGGAGGGGATAGGGCGTGGGAGTCCAATTCCTCTGTGTGTCCCAGCATTTCTTGGCACTAGGCCTGGAACACGGCAGACCTCAAGAAATGAGGGTTGAGGCCGGGCACAGTGACTCACACCTGTAATTCCTGCACTTCGGGAGGCCAAGGCGGGTGGATCACTTGAGGTCGCGAGTTCAAGACCAGCCTGGCCAACATGGTGAAAACCTGTCTCTACTAAAAATATAAAAATTAGCTGGGTTTGTTGGCGGGTGCCTGTAATCGCAGCTACTGGGGAGGCTGAGGCAGGAGAATTGCTTGAACTCAGGAGGTGGAGGTTGCAGTGAGCCAAGGCCATGCCATTACACTCCAGCCTGGGTGACAGAGTAAGACTCTGTCTCAAAAGAAAAAAAAAAAGTGAAAGAAATGAGGGTTGAATGAAGAATGAATGAATGAATGAATGAATGAATGAATGAATGAATGAATATACGCATAGCAGAAGGTGAGATCAGAGGCAGACCATGACCAGCAAAGGAAAGTAGGGGAAAGAATAGGGACAGAGGAGGAACTGGGAAGAATTAATATAAGGGAGTGAGTAATACTGCCAAGAGCTAATGTGCGTTGGGTGCTTCCTAGGTGGGCCAACTCATCTGATGCTCCTAAGAGTCCTGTGAAATAGATCATGTGGTTTGTGTCCTGCAGTGGCCAAATGTTAGGTATTGGAGTATCTCCATCTTTTTCATTTTTTATTTTTTATTTTTTGAGACAGGGTCTCCCTCTCTTGCCCAAGTTTGGAGTGCAGTGGCACAATCTCAGCTCACTGCAACCTCTGCCTCCTGGACTCAAGTGATCCTCCTGCCTCAGCCTCCTGAGTAGCTGGGACTACAGGCTTGCGCCACCATGCCCAGGTAATTCTTGCATTTTTTGTAAAGACAGAGTTTCTCCATGTTGCCCATTTTGCCCAGGCTGGTCTTGAACTCCTGATTTCAAGTGATCTGCCTGCCTCAGCCTCCAAAAGTGCTGGGACTACAGGCGTGAGACACTGCGCTGGCCTCCACCACTTCCTTATTCTGTGTCCTTGCTGGTGTTACATAGGCCAACTTGCTTCAGTTTCCCCAGCTATAAAATGAAGAGAACAGGACCTACCTCATGGGACTGATATGAGGGATTGTGTCTAGGTGGAGATTTAGCACTTTGCCTTGAACACAATTAAGTGCTCAGTTGATAGCAGCTGATATATGGCACCCATTACCCAAACGTGGAAACTGAGGCACAGAAAGGGGTCATCATTTCACAGCTGATGGTGGCAACAAAAGTCAAACACACATCACGTATGTGAGCATCTGGGCTGTTCAACACTGTATTACCAGAATCTAGAACAGCGCCTAGTGCATACTGAGTGCTTAATAAGTATTTTTAATGAAAGAATGATTGAATGGGCCAGGTGTGGTGGCTCACATCTATAATCCTGGCAATTTGGGAGACCAAGGTGGGTGGATCACCTGAGGTCAGGAGTTTGAGACCAGCCTGGCCAACATGCTAAAACTCCATCACTACTAAAAATACAAAAGTTAGCTGGTTGTGGTGGCATACGCTTGTAGTCCCAGCTACTTGGGAGGCTGAGGCAGGTGAATTGCTTGAATCTGGGAGGCAGAGGTTGCAGTGAGCTGAGATCTTGCCATTGCATTCCAGCCTGGGTGAGAGAGCGAGACTCAGTCTCAAAAAAGAAAAAAAAAAGAATGATTGAATGGGTCCACAAGGCCGGGCGCGGTGGCTCAAGCCTGTAATCCCAGCACTTTGGGAAGCTGAGACGGGCGGATCACAAGGTCAAGAGATCGAGACCATCCTGGCCAACATGGTGAAACCCTGTCTCTACTAAAAACACAAAAATTAGCTGGGCATGGTGGTGTGCGCCTGTAGTCCCAGCTACTCGGGAGGCTGAGGCAGGAGAATGGCTTAAACCCGGGAGGCAGAGGTTGCCGTGAGCCAAGATCACACCACTGCACTCCAGCCTGGCGACAGAGCAAGACTCCATCTCTAAATAAATAAATAAATAAACAAAAAATGGGCCGGGCACGGTAGCTCACGTCTGTAATCCCAGCACTTTTGGAGACCAAGGCAGGTGGATCATGAGGTCAAGAGATCGAGACCATCCTGGCCAACATGGTGAAACCCTGTCTCTACTAAAAATACAAAAATTAGCTGGGCATGATGGTATATGCCTGTAGTCCCAGCTACTTGGGAGGCTGAGGCAGGAGAATCGCTTGAACCCAGGAGGTGGAGGTTGCAGTGAGCCGAGATCGTGTCACTGCACTCCAGCCTGGGAGACAGAGCGAGACTCTGTCTCAAAAATAAATAAATAAAATAAATAAATAACACCTGTTGTGAAGGATGTGGAGAAATTCGAACCCTTGTGCACTGCTGGTAGAAATGTAAAATGGTGCAGTGGCTATGGAAAACACTATCAAGGTTCCTCAAAAACTAAAAATAGAATCATCATATGGTCCAGCAAAGTCAGTACTGGGGATAGACCCAAAAGAATTAAAAGCAGGGACTCAAATAGATATTCATACACTCGTGTTCATAGTAGCATCGTTCACAATAGCCAAAAAGTGGAAACACCCCAGTGCCCGTTGACAGATGAATGGAGGAACATGTGCTCTATACATACAATGGAATATTATTCAGCCTTTAAAAGGAAGCCAATTATGATACATGCTATAAACATAGATAAACCGTGAAGACATTATACTCAGTGAAATAAGCCAGTAACAAAAAGACAAATACTGTACCATTCCACTTATATGAAACACCTGGAATAATCAAATTCATAGAGACAAAGTATCATGGTAGTTGCCAGGGCTGGAGGGTGGGAGGATGTGGAGTTATTTAACGGGTACTGAGTTTCCGTTTTGCAAGATGAAAAGAGTTCTGGAGATTGGTTGCACAACAATGTGGGTGCACTTACCACTACTGAAATGCATACTTACAAATGATGAAAATGGTAAATTTATGTTATATATAATTTACTACAATTTTCAAAATGAATGAATGAATGAATGAGTGAGTGAATGAATATACAACTCCCACATACAAACTCTTACCCATCAGCACCTCCACCGTGGTGTGGTAAGATGACAAGCTCAATGTTCCTTCCTCCCTCCCTCCCTCCCTCCCTCCCTCCCTTTCTCTCTCTCTCTCTCTCTCTCTCTTCTCTCTCTCTCTCTTTTATTTTTTTTGAGACAGAGTCTCATTCTGTTGCCCAGGTTGGAGTGCAATGGCTTGATCTCGGCTCACTGCAACTTCCACCTCCTGGTTTCAAGCCATTCTCTTGCCTCAGCCTCCTGAGTAGCTGGGGTTACAGGAGTGTGCCACCACGCCCAGCTAATATTTGTATTTTTGGTAGAGACGGGGTTTCACTGTGTTAGCCAGGATGGTCTCGATCTCCCGACCTCAGGTGATCCTCCTGCCTTGGACTTCCAAACTGCTGGAAGTACAGGGGTGAGCCACCTTGTCCAGCTTTTTTTTCCTCTTTTTTCTTTTTTCTTTCTTTCTTTTTCTTTTTCTTTTTTTTTTTTTTTTTTCTGAGACGGAGTCTCGCTCTGTCGCCCAGGCTGGATGAAGTGCAGTGGCCGGATCTCAGCTCACTGCAAGCTCCGCCTCCCGGGTCCACGCCATTCTACTGCCTCAGCCTCCCAAGCAACTGGGACCACAGGCGCCCGCCACCTCGCCCGGCTAGCTAGTTTTTTGTATTTTTTTAGTAGAGATGGGGTTTCACAGGGTTAGCCAGGATGGTCTCAATCTCCTGACCTCGTGATCCGCCCGTCTCGGCCTCCCAAAGTGCTGGGATTACAGGCTTGAGCTACCGCGCCCAGCCCACTTTTTCTTTTTCTTTTTTTAGAGATGGAGTCTCACTCTGCTGCTCAGGCTGGAGTGC